AGGTGAGGTAGAGGATTATTTGAAATCCTGAGAGGGTCGTCAACCATTTGCTGCATGATAGGACACTCGCATACTTTCACAACATACCCACTAGTGTGGAGACAGCACTAAACTCCTTCACAAGACAGTTCCCGAATAACAATCACTCATATCTAGTTTCAATATGAGGAATACATAATTGTTGGTTAAGACTAAATACGGTATATAATTTAATTATCATATGTACTAAGGCTTCTCCACTAGGTGGCAGCATGGTATTGTGTTGAATATCCATTCTGTTACGTTGTTTCCTGTATAGTATTATTGTAGTTAACACATTACAATTACAGTTATTAATGTAGCGCCAACATATTCTGCAGCGCTGTACTATCAGTAAACAAAACAGACACTAAATTCTAACAAAACTTGATTGACATAATGGAATAGTAAGTGAGGAGGGCCCTGCCCAAACAAACTTACAATCTAATGGACAAAATATAAAATGACATGAGTCTTTATAGATTTGTTCAGTAATTAAGTAGAGTATTGGTGTTAAAGACAGATTAGAGGCTAATTTCTCTTGTTGCCCCATACAGGATTTTGCATTCCGAATTGCCACAATAAGCATTGGATGCGAGTGCCCCATTCAGTATGGGGTTATTCAAACTCATGTGAGTTACCCTGTCAGAGTATGAGAAACAAGATTGTCTGGTCTGATGAAACAAAGATGGAACTGTTTGGCCTCAATTCAAAGTATTATGTCTGGATAAAAGCATGGAGCTGGTAAAACCTGGTCCAGAGAGCTCCAGACCAACGAATGGGCTGAAGGTTCACCTTCCAACAGTACAATGACCCTAAGCACACAGGCAAGACAATAAAAGAGCGGCTCCGGGACAAACGCTGTGAATGACCTTGAGTGTGTGACTGGAACCAGGGATACAGGTTGCAAATGGCCACACTGTCAGATGGAGCATAATGACAGCATAAACTTAACACGTAAAGGAAGACAGAGCTCCATAGCGCCAGGAGACGCCAGGCGATCCACAGGAAAACAAAGGTAGCACGGAAAAAAACTCAAGGACAAGCACTTCACCAAAGCATAAGTTTATTCACAGGGGGGAGTCCTTACACGTTTTGAACCTCAATGTCCTTACACGTTTTGAACCTCAATGTCCTTAAACCTCATGTCCGAAACGTGTAAGGCTTTTCTGTCTGACTTCTCCCTGTGTTGTGCAAGATGCCAAATAAACCTTTTCACATGCTTTTTTCAGTGATACTTTTTGTTTTTCAATGTTCTTGAGTGGCCCAGCTAAAGGCTCGACTTAAACCTAATCGAAAGTCTCTGGAGAGACCTGAAAATGGCTTTACGACGACAGTTCCCATCCAACCTGACAGCACTCAAGAGGATCTCCAGAGATAAAGGGCAGAAACTACCCAAATCCAGATTTGCAAAGCTTCTCAAATCACACCAAAAAAGATGAGTCCGTAATCTCAGCAAAGGTGTTAAGGGCCTGAATACATATCTCTTCAGTTTTATATTTTCTGTTTGTGTCAAAAATCTTGGTTTTTCTCTGTCATGATGAGGTATTGAATGTAGATTGATGTGAAAAAAGGATTAACCAATCAAGGAATAAGGCTGCAAACAAACAAAAAAAATGAGAAAGAAAAATATTTATCAGAATACATTGTATATACAAAGGTAAGGTGCAAATTTAAAAGAACACTATAGAGTCAGGAACACAAACATGTATTCCCGACCCTATAATGTTAAGAAATGCAATCTAGCCCCCTAAATATAGTAAAATATTACTTGTATTCCAGTCTGCTGCTGCTGGCTATGCCCCTGATCTGCCTCCTTGACTGACATCATCAGAAGTGGTGATCTCAGCCAATTACAATCACATAGAAAAGCATTGGATTGGCTGAAATTGCCAAGAAGTTGGGGCAGGGGGCCCAGCCAAATGCCGTCCTGACCAATCAACCCATCTCTATGAGAAAAGTTCAGTGTCTCCATGCAGAGGGTGGAGACACCGAATGTCAGTCACACTGTGCAGCACTGCCCCAGGAAGACCCTCTAATAGCCATCTGAGTGGCCACAGGAGTTATCCGTAGGCTGTAATGTAAACACTGCCTTTTCTCTGAAAAGACAGAAAAAAAGCCTGAAGGGACTGATTATACTCACCAGAACAAATGCAATAAGCTGACGTTGTTCTGGTGACTATAGTGTCCCTTTAACTCCACAGATAAAACAGGCATTCAGTCCTAGAAGGACATTGTAGGGAATGCAGTTAACAGAGAGGGTATTAAAGAGACAGCTAGGAACATGCTAGGCATGTGCATGGGAATAAATTTCGGTTTGGTTCGGCATTCTGGAATTCGGGACTTTGGCAATTCGGCACTTCAACATTTCGAAACTTTGGCAACTTCGGGACTATGGCACTTCGGGACTTCTCTTGCAGCCCCTTAGTAGATAACTCCCTAATTCCCACGGTATTAGGGAGTTATCTACCAAAAGGCTGAAAGACCTAAATTGGTCTTTCAGCCAAATTTACTAATACTAAGTAAAAATTACTCAGTATTACAAAATTTTGCCCCTACAACAATTATATCGTCAGTGTAAGTGCCATTTGTGTGTGAAAAATGCAAAAAATGTCAATTTCACTGATGATATCGTCGTTGTAATAAATTTTACTGTTTTGAAACACTAATATTTGTGTTCAGCGAATCTTCCGAGTAAAACAGTACCCCCCATGTACAGGTTTTATGGTGTCTTGGAAAGTTACAGGGTTAAATATAGTGCTAGCAAATTAAATTCCCTGAACTTTCGGCCTGGGTTGTCAGGCAGGTCCTGCAAATTGTAATTAAAAAAAAATTACCTAATTATGTAAAATTATTACATGAATATATACGTAGAATTATTATATATATACGTGTGTATATATTTGTGTGAATATATATATATGTATATAATTTTTTTTTAATTATTTGTATTCATATATAGGTATATATATATATAGTGATAAATACTTATATACTCATGTATATAGATATATATAGTATTTCGTTCTACATGTATTTTTTTTTTTTTTTTATAATTCTTTATTTTTCGTGCTTAGTGTGAACAAAACAGGCTAGTATCACCACAATGGCAAGTATCTGCCGAATACAGTGCTAAAGTATCATCATCATCATGGTAGTTGTTAAGAGCACGTTTTTTATAAATGCACAGTAAACAGTAGGATAACAATAGTTTTAACAATTTTTGAGCAATCCTTATCGTGGTTGTCATAGCGATAAGCTCGATGTGTTGAATCAGTTAAGTAGTATGCTTATTATCTAAGACTGACTCGTATGTGTCCTAGCAGTGTTCGTGTGGTCAGGTGTGTAGCCTAAGGCTGATGTAGTGGGTTACGATGTAGTGCACATCTGACTGTTGCGGACCTAGTGTCAGTTTGGTATGTATGTGAAAGCTTAAGTGTGTGGTATAGCTTGCACCGCTTTCCTTGTCTAGGGCATTAGTGGAGCTCTTTCGCAGAGTCCGGGCGGGGAGGTATTAAACATGTGTGTCATGTCTGCCATATTATGCCATCAGGTGTTGCAAGTGTAAAATAAATGTCGCATTATCGGAGGAACCAAACAAAGTAGAGAACAAAACATTTGAGAATTAAACATATTCCTACAAGATAGGGCTGAGTGTAGGACTGTCCTCAGGACGTGGATGCTACATATGAGTCCGGCAGGGCCAAAACTGAAATTCTGGTCTTTCCTCCCTCAAGTGTTGTTACTCGTGTGTCTGTCTCCCTCCAAGTCAACGGTGCTACCATCAGCTCCACCATGCAGGCTCGCTGCCTAGGTGTTCTCTTTGACTCCGACCTCTCCTTCAAGCCTCATGTTCAGTCTATCGCCAAATCCTGTCATTTCCATCTCAAAAACATTGCGCGCATCCGCCCCTACTTAACGCCAGATGCGACTAAGGTGTTGGTCCATTCCACTGTCCTTTCTCGCCTTGACTATTGTAATCCGCTTCTCAGTGGTCTTACATGCTACCAACTTGCGCCGTTACAGTCCATAATGAATGCGGCGGTGAGGCTCATCTTCCTGTCCGCCCGCACCTCACACGCATCACCCTTCTGTCAGTCCCTACATTGGCTTCCTATAAAATATAGAGCTCAATTTAAAATTTTGGTTCTTGCCTTCAAATCTCTACATAATGCTGCTCCCACCTATCTATCCTCCCTTATACACAAGTATGTCCCGTCTAGGCCCTTACGATCTGCTGAAGACTTACTTCTATCTTCTGTCCGTACTCCCACCTCTGATGCTCGCCTTCAAGATTTCTCGAGGGCTGCAGCGTTCCTGTGGAATTCGCTTCCCTCCTCCGTTAGATGCTCACCCAGTCTCCACTCCTTCAAAAAATCGTTAAAAACCCACTTCTTCATAAAAGCCTATCAATTAAACTGTTAATAGCTCCTGGCTGATTCCTCTTCTGCAACTGTCACTACTCTAATACTATCCTTACCTTTTTGTGTCATTTTACCCCACTCCCTCTAGCATGTAAGCTCATTGAGCAGGGCCCTCAACCCCTCTGTTCCTGTGCGTCCAACTTGTCTGGTTACAACTACATATCTGTTCGTCCACCCATTGTAAAGCGCTGCGGAATTTGACGGCGCTCTATAAATATCATAATAATAATAATAAAATAATAATAATAATGGGTGGGGTGATCTTTACTGGATTCCAAGCGCGTGAGGGACCGGGAGGGGTGGTGGGTTCTTTATTGTTCAGACTGTGCTGTGGGAGGCCCAGGGCTTGTAGTAGTGCTGTTGCTTCTTGGATGTCTTGGAACAGGTGCGTGGAATCTCCATGTGTTACCATGAGCGTGTGAGACATGCGCCAACGGTAGCGTATATTCCTTTGCTGAAGGAGGGAGGTGAGAGGCCTAAGGGACCTCCGCCAGGCCACGGTGCTGTTTGAGAGGTCCTGGTAGAAGGCCGCGACATGCCTTCCATTTGGTATGAGGACTTTCCCTTGAGGGCCATAAGGACTGCTACTTTGTCTATTCCCGATTTGAATTGGACCACCAGGTCCCGCGGGAATGTTGCTGGGGCCTTGGCCGGTTTGGGGATTCGGAACTGGCCATCCAGTTGTATAGCTTTAGCCTGCCGTGGGAGAAGTAGTGCAGCCATAAGTCTCCTCATTAGATGTGGTAACTCGGCATCAGGTATGTCCTCCGGAATACCTCTAACTTTCAGGTTATTCCGGCGTTGGGCGTCTTCTTGTGAGACTGTGCGTGAGGCTTCCTCCAGCACTCCGATGCGGCCCGTCAGGCCCTGCAGGCCACTGCGGATCGTGGCTATGTCTGCCTGCAGCGTGGTTTTCAGGTTGTCCAGGAGCTCCTTTAGGACGGCCGTGGTGACCAGAGCTGCGTCTGGTGTCGTCAAGCCTGGTTTTGGGGTTGCAGGTAGGATTTCGTCTTCGCCGTCCATGGATAGCTCTTCGGAAAAATCTGAACAGCCCCCAGTGAGGGCGGCCATTTTAGGCCCGTACGCTCCCTGCGCCTGCTTCCACATTGCCCCGATATTCATTACCATGGTCGGTTTATCTGGCTTGGATTTTTTGATTTGCGCCCCATGGTGCCTGTACGGACCGGTACTGCTCTCCAGGTACAGTTAGTGGTGTTTTTGGTAGCTGAACTTAGGCTTTTTGTGGCATAAAGCTCGGAGCTTCAGAGACATGTGACTGATTGCTTCAGCAGCTTAGCTCCGCCCTCTCTACATGTATTTTGATATCAATATATATATGTATTAATTTTTTTATTTTTTTTTAATTCTTTATTTTTTAATTCAGGCATGGAGCATCACATATCATACATGTATCGTGTCATCTTTACAATACCATGGTATCAAAATACCCAGATATCCTTTCGGTAACATATCGCATCATAGGGAATTATCAAGCACTACAATTAGCAAGCACTACACTCCTCTGATTTTGCCCATTTTCAGGATGACCCGGTATGTCTGGGTCTATACCACAGTTGATTACACATCAATATGTATGTTAACCATACGTTGTCTGCGCGGGTCTGTTAAAGGGCCTTCTCAGACGAGCCTATACCTCGTTATATACGGTATATATGCGTTTTTCTACTGCTGTGGGGCCTTGCTATTCCCGTATTGGCGGGGACTGCCCTTGCCCATGAGATGCCCGCTATTCAGAGAGTGTGTCTTCCTATCGGCTGTTGACATTATAGCTCCATACTGAACTTGTTTGTAAGGTAAATGGGAGAGGGGGGGGACTTCAGGGGGGGAGGGGGTGGGGTCGGGGCCATACCGGATGCGCCCACCGCACACGCGAGGCAATGCGTCACCCAGTTCTGCTGGTGTGTTTCATGGCGTCTGCGCCATTCTGTCCACATAGTCCTCCCATGGTTGCCATACTTTTGAGAAGGTGCCCATGGTATTCCGAATCCGCGCTGTCAATTTGTCCATTAGGCAGTTGTCTTTTATTTTATGGATTACTCTGTGTATAGAGGGGGCGTCCGGGCTGAGCCGTTGTTGGGTCAGCGCCCTTCTGGCCGCTAAGGTAATGTCAGGTTAGACCTGCCGGGTTTCGCCGAATTAAGCCACTTCCGGGTTGACGACGCTTTGCCCCGCCCCTTCTTTGACGCGGTCTTCCCACGCTACATAGGAAGACCGCGCCAGATTCAAAGCGCTGGATTATTGAACAAGTTTGCTGTGTATCTCTGACCGGCTACCCGATTACATTATAAGCTTTTCCGTGTACCGAACCCGCTCTGTGAATGACTACCCGCCTTCTCCACTCCTCGACCCGGACTGTTTAATGGACTTCTACTCTCTCTCCTAAAAGACTGCTTAAATTGATCTCCCCAGTTCTCTGGAACTACTACTATTAAGCTAAGTACTTCTCAGTTGTAATTATAAGCTAACCATTGTTAAACACTCTTGAAACTATTTCCTCTGCAATTAATACTAAATCTGCATACAAACTTTGGAGGCTATTTCTGCTGCATTTAATTCAACACTAAATCTGCATACAACCTTTGGAAGCTATTTCTGCTGCATTTAATTCAACACTAAATCTGCATACAAACTTTGGAAGCTATTTCTGCTGCATTTAATTCAACTCTAAATTCTGCATGCAAACTCTGCACTATCCTTAATTAGAATTGTAGACTTAATAGAAAACTTCAGTGGCTTATTTTCTTCCTGCAACTAATAACCTGTCATAAGAGTTTAAAGCTACACCATTACACTACCAGCATCCTTCTTCACCGACATTAAGAAGACCTTCACCCGCTTTATATGGTCGCATTCCCCCCCTAGGCTCACATACAACACTCTTACAAACCACAAACTCCATGGTGGCCTAGGCCTCCCAGATGTAGAACTGTACTGCAAGGCTACTATGCTACATAGGGTCTACGAATGGACCACCCCAACAATCCCAAACACTGGGTGCATCTCGAAAAATCTGCCTTTCAACATCCCCTCCTCACTATCCCATGGCAACAAACAGGGAAAACCTCCCTCTTGCAAGTCCACACAAAGCACCCCACAATCATACCCACCCTTAAAGTGTGGTCACAAATAAGAGATAAATTAGGCATATCCCCCCACCCGTCTCCCCTCTACCCATTGACTTACAACCCTAAATTCCCTCCGGGCCTCTCCCCTTCCTCCTTTACTGCGTTCCCACACACCCACTACCTTCAATTGCGAACCCTACTAGATGACCAAGGAATTAGACCACCTAACACAATCTGGGGAGATACGCAACCCACGACCCTACAACAATTCCGTCACTCTCAACTCACCCACTTCCTATCAACCACCCCCAATATTCTCCAAGGACACCGGCAACTCACCTCATTTGAACAACACTGTGCCTCCAGTGATATCAAAACGAAGCACCTCTCAATCCTATACAAACTAATGCAAACGGAAATACCGCCCACCCTACCCAAATACACAAAATCCTGGGAATCCGAGCTTAACCTCTCCCTAACGCAAACAGATTGGAAACACATATTCTCCAACGTACACAAGACAAGCATGAGCACGCACGCACAGGAAGGGAACTTTAAACGACTATCCAGGTGGCACCTCACTCCTTCCAAACTAAACGCAATCTTCCCAAATGCCTCCGCGCAGTGTTGGAGATGTCCCCACCCTCGGGGAACCCCAAGCCACATATGGTGGTCATGTCCAGTCATCTGTACCTACTGGTCCAAAATCATTAAGATGATTCATACCATCACCAACGTTCAACTGCCCCAATCCCCAGAAATTGTACTCTTCCTCCTCCTCCCACCATCGGTTCCCAAGAACACAAGATCCCTAACCAGACACCTACTCACAGCGACAAACGCCCTCATCCCTAGCCACTGGAAAAAACCAGAGGCACCCACTATCCGGACATGGATCAATAAGGTTGACTCCATACGCCTTTTAGAGGAAATACACTACTCGAGGTCACACTCCTATAGTACCTATGAACGTACCTGGAGCCCTTGGTTACACTTCCTAAAAGCTGACTAGACCTCCAGAAAACCAACTCCTAACCAACCTACCTAAAATGTCTATCCACCCTTCCCCCCACCCCTCTCCGCATGCCGGAACTTAGATCTGTTAATCCCCGAAGTTTCTGTTCTCATAACTACAATTGACAACCATTACCATGGGATTTCTGCTATTGAACTCATCCAGCGTAAAATGTTTAATTGTCGTGCCGCTCACTCTCACTACCTCATCCCCCAAGCAACTACCTGATAGAATGTCTGTCCACCCTGAAGGTTTAGATTACCCCAATATTGTTTATCCCATGTATAACTATGCAAAATACATGCTCTGTAGCACTGTTTTTAAAAAAAAAAAAAAAAAGGGGCCAACCAATTGTATGGCCAATAAGTCTTCCTCTCTCCTCCGCCTCCCCCCCACCCCCCCCTCCCTTCTCCTTCCCCCCTTTGAAGTTTGACAACTCTGGCTGGCTACAGTTTTGTGAGACCTATTGGTCTCGCAAAGGTATAAATTTAGGGGTAGGGCTACGTTTACTACCGCAAATTAACCAGCAACACCTGGTCTGTGATCCCACAGCACCAAGACTAGAACTTACACTTACCAAGCCCACCACAACTTGTACGACCCCGCTAAATCACGTTATTTATTTCTTTAATTCCTCTAAGATCTCTAAAGCCTATCTGACACAATAAGATAGACAGGACCAGCCAGAGTGAAGTTAATGCACAATGTTAAATGTTTGAAAATTTATTTCTGAATATTGTTTACTGCAAAGAACTAACCCATAAGTGAGATAATGGAATGCGGACGTGATACCTTGTGAACTGGAAGAATTCCTCCAAAGACGTTCCTCACACTATCATGGTTCCACAACACAACACTATGTTATGCTCATTATGTTATGTACTCTATGTTAACACAATGTACAGTTCTGTATGTATGCAAAACTTTGAAAATAAAGAAAAATTTATAAAAAAATAAATAAAATGTACTTAAAAAGTGAAAAAAAAAAGTTTAAAGCTACAGTAACCAATGTTTGCAATTCAATAAAATTATAATCAAAGTAATTAAAGTTCTGCAGTTGTGTTCCACTCGTTTAGCATTACAGGTAATTTTATTAACTAGTTTCTGTTCTCTTGCCGTCAAGTCATCTTGTGGTTTAGCTAGCAGGTAAGTCCAAGGGTCTTTGTGTATTGGTCGTGCTAGTATCGTCGTCATCAGCTTCTCTATGTCCGACCAGTATCTGGCCACTTTGGGACACGTCCACCACATGTGGACGTATGATCCCCGCTCTCCGCAGCCCCTCCAGCATGTGTCCGTGGTGGTTTTCCCCATTTTAAATAATTTAGTTGGGGTGGTGTACCATCTCAGGAGGGTTTTGTATGCCTGTTCCTGAAGTGTTACACACACAGACACCTTCGCTGCTGCTTCCCATATGTCACTCCAGTCCTCCCCTTCCAGTGTCTGATGGAGATCCTGTTCCCATTGGGTGACATAATTAAGGGGTGCTGCGTCTCTCCCCGGGGCGCTAAGTTGTGCATATAATGTTAATATATATAACATATATATATTAATTTTTAAATACAGTTAGAACGAAATGACACATGTATATATATATTTTTTATTTATTTATTTTTTATTATTTATTTTAATTTAGTTTTTTAACATATTTACATATTTATTTTTTATTATATATATATATAAATATATATAATGAAAATGATATATACATTTAATCAATATCATTGTACGTGTACTTTGATATTAATATATATATATAATTTTATATATATTAATATTAAAATACACGTAGACAGTGTATGTGTATTTATGTGTATGTATGTATATGTGTATATATATACTTAGATCATATATATAATAAATATATATGTGATCCAAGTATGTATTATTTAATTTTATACTGTTTTTAACATTTATAATTTTTTTTTTCAGACAGCAGAGGGAGTACCTCCAATTTCCTCCTTCTCCACCCCCTCTCCAATTTCCTCCTTCCCCACCCCCTCTAATTTCCTTCTTCTCCCCCCTCCAATTTCCTTCTCCCCCTTCCAATTTCCTTCTTCCCCACTCTTCAATTCCTTCTCCCCCTCTCCAATTCCATTCTCACCCCCTCTCCAATTTCCTCCTTGTCCCCCCCCCCACCACTGTTGTAGCATGGCCGAGCTCTGTATGGTCCGCGGGTACATGGAGCTTTTGTTTCCTGTACCCGGCCGGACTAACAGGAAGTGCACACTTCCTCGGCCACGCTACAGTGAGGGAGTGACAGGAGGGAGCGCTGAGCACTTCCCTCCTGTCAGCCCCTCTCCTCATGCTGCGCCCGGGCGGTGCGCCCTCATGGACGCACCAGCCCGGGCAAAGCTGCAGCCACCTGAGGCTCTCTACAGAGTGCTCGGGCGGCTGCAGCATGAGTGGGGCCGGCGCTCCTGGCGGCGCCCCTTCCCAAGGTGCGCCCTAGGCGGCTGCCTAGTCCGCCTAACAGGTAGCGCCGGCCCTGCCCGTATTCCAATTTAGGGCCCCCACCCGCCGCTCAGGGGTGGGGCCAGGGGAGGACATTAGGTCCCCCCCTTATTAGTATTTAGAGCCCCCACCCACCACTCAGGGGTGAGGGCCAGGGGGAGGACATTAGGTGTCCCCCCTTATTAGTATTTAAGGCTTCCACCCACCGCTCAGGGGTGGGGGACAGGGGGGAGGACATTAGGTCCCCCCCTTATTTTCCTGTAGGGCCCCAACCCACCGCTCAGGGGTGGGGGTCAGGGGGGAGGATATTAGGTCCCCCTTATTAGTATTTAGGGCCCCCACCCGCCGCTCAGGGGTGGGGGCCAGGGGGGAGGACATTATGGCCCCCCCTTATTCTAATTTAGGGCCCCCACCCACCGCTCAGGGGTGGGTGCCAGGGGGGAGGACATTAGGTCCCCCCCCTTATTAGTATTTAGGGTCCCCCCCCTTATTCTAATTTAGGGCCCCCACCCACGGCTCAGGGGTGGGAGCCGGGGGGGAGGACATTAGGTCCCCCCTTATTAGTATTTAGGGCCCCCACCCACCGCTCAGGGGTGGGGGCCAAGACATTAGGTCCCCCCCATATTCCAATTTAGGGCCCCCATCCGCCGCTCAGGGGTGGGGGCCAGGGGGGAGGACATAAGGTTCCCCCCTTATTTTACTGTAGGGCCCCCACCCACTGCTCAGGGGTGGGGGCCAGGGGGGAGGACATTAGGCCCCCCCTTATTAGTATTTAGGGCCCCCACCCACCGCTCAGGGGATGGGGTCCAGGTGGGAGGACATTAGGTCCCCCCCCTTATTAGTATTTAGGGCCCCCACCCACCGCTCAGGGGTGGGGGCGAGGACATTAGGTTCCCCCCCTTATTTTACTGTAGGGCCCCAACCCACCGCTCAGGGGTGGGGGTCAGGGGGGAGGATATTAGGTCCCCCTTATTAGTATTTAGGGCCCCCACCCGCCGCTCAGGGGTGGGGGCCAGGGGGGAGGACATTATGGCCCCCCCTTATTCTAATTTAGGGCCCCCACCCACCGCTCAGGGGTGGGGGCCAGGGGGGAGGACATTAGGTCCCCCCCCTTATTAGTATTTAGGGTCCCCCCCTTATTCTAATTTAGGGCCCCCACCCACGGCTCAGGGGTGGGAGCCGGGGGGGAGGACATTAGGTCCCCCCTTATTAGTATTTAGGGCCCCCACCCACCGCTCAGGGGTGGGGGCCAAGACATTAGGTCCCCCCCATATTCCAATTTAGGGCCCCCATCCGCCACTCAGGGGTGGGGGCCAGGGGGGAGGACATAAGGTTCCCCCCTTATTTTACTGTAGGGCCCCCACCCACTGCTCAGGGGTGGGGGCCAGGGGGGAGGACATTAGGCCCCCCCTTATTAGTATTTAGGGCCCCCACCCACCGCTCAGGGGTGGGGGCGAGGACATTAGGTTCCCCCCCTTATTTTACTGTAGGGCCCCCAACCCTTCAGGTTAGAAGCCCCCACTTGCGCAGCACGGGTGGGGGCGAGGGAGGGTGGGGGGACTTTTTTTTTTTTTTTTTTAAGTGAGCAGCCATAGGCTGCTCGCTGTTTAACAGACATGCCCCTACTCGCAGTATAGCTAGTAGGGGCATAATTTACTAATGCTAAGTAATCTTTACTTAGTAAATTTGGCTGAAAGACCAATTTAGGTCTTTCAGCCTTTTAATAGATAGCTCCCTAATACCGTGGGAATTAGGGAGTCATCTACTTATTCATTCCTGTCATTACACTGACTGGCTAAGTAACTTACATTTTATATGAATGTATGTTACTTGATTGTTATAAGTGTTGCAAATGCTTACATCTGAATCCTGGCTATGTTTGTATACTTTTTATTTAAAATTGTATACAGTGTAACATTCTTCATTCTTCCACTGGGTCAGTATATTAGTTCTTAGGCAATACTGTGCTTCGGAAATTCGGTAATTTTTGGGACTTAAACCATTCTGAAATTCGGCAATTCATCTATTCGGACATTCGGAAGTACCCAAATGTCAGAATTACTCGACATTCGGACCGAAACGAATTGCACATGTCTAGAACATGCGGTTAATGGCCAACAGTTGTCTTCCTCCTACTTTTAGAGATGTTTCAAAGGGAGAATTCATATGGCTAAGAATAAATTGTTTTACTATAACATATTTTGAAGAAGGCAATGGAGTTAAAAATCCACTTTTGGTAAAAAATAAAATTTGCCAATGAAAGATAATTACCTTCCATGGTTTTTGTACTATTTTTACAGGGTTATTCACAAAAGTGAGAATTTAAGGTTAAAAAAAAAAAAAAAAAAGCCAAACTGGAAAATTTCTTTGAGTTAGCTATACTTTCAAATCGGTTACTCTGGCCCTAAATTTCAAATTTACCTTGAATTCTTACTTTAGTTAATAATTCTGTCAATTCTTTGAAATGAAATGAGATCTTTTTAAAACATCATCCGGTCCTTGGGATGGACTATTTCTCTCCCATCAGTTGGAGCAGAAGGACACTTTACAACAGTTCCTAAATGGCTCATATGTCTAAGTCACTGTGTGCAGATTATAGGTGCAGGGTGTTTATAATGTGCTTGTATATATTATTTGTTTTGTCTGCTTTTCTGTCCTGCAGATGCTTGTTACCAACTAGGTGGATTTGGCTGCAGAGCCTGTATAGCGCCCTTAGTTGGTAGCAGCAGCAATATGCACTGCCTGAATAGCAAGGCTTGTTAATTTGCATATTCAGGTAGATTTGCACATTGCTAATTCTGGGGTTTTAATATAATTCTCTGTATTTTTTCTGACATTTTGGTTATTTGTATTTTATTATTTTTGTCACAGCAAGCTTGATGTAATAAGCATATGAGCTGGTCCCAAGTAAAAAAATAAAGCATTTCCTGTTGGTTCAATCTTGGTGTCCTGTGTGGATTTTTAGGGATCTCAGTGACAGAGTCTTTGGACCTTTTGACTGGCTTCATGATCCTTCTAGCCCTGAGATAAATCAAGAGAGCTAGGCCTGAGAGCCCCAATTGCCTTTGTAAAGGCTGTGACACAATGCCATCCATGAGTTAAAGATTAAATATTTAGTTTTTCAGTTTGTGACACAAATAGAATTTCCAGAATTTGAGTAATGCTTTCCTACGGACTGACAGAATTGAGTTGAAGTGGTCTGGGTGCCTTTAGTGGTCCTTTAAACAGGGTAACTGTAGATATGTAGCTGGCGTGTCACTGAGGGGTATGATCTGGGGCTAATGGGCTTAAAGGGACACTATAGTCACCAAAACTTTAGCTTAAAGGACCACGCTAAAGTTGTTTAGGTGACTATAGTGTTCCTTTAATGCTCCGCATTAGCTGAAGCCAACTTAACCCCCGCCTAATTCTCTCAGCCTATACCGCACTCAGGCCACATCAGAGCGTCCATGCCAGAGCCATATAGGAGATGTTAGGTCCCGGGTAGTTGCCAGGGACTGGCACTTTGAGAGCTGCGGCTTAGCGGCCATCTTGACGATGCACAGTGCAGACTCAGGGGCAGTTGTTGGTGCAGGAGCAGAGGGGTGAGTGTCTCAGTGTGGACCAGGATAACTCCCATCGGTCCGGGGCAAAAGTAGGTTTTTATAGTGGGCAATTGCTCAAAGCTGCAGAAGCTACACAAAAGTGTGTGCGGTCGTCTTAGAGATCAGGCCCTAGAGTTTTTTTTGTTTTTTTTTTCCCTTTAACATTGGTTCAGCTACAAACAAATGTGGTGGTCCTGTCCCAAAGTTGCTGAATACTGGAATAAAATAGTTGACCTGAGTTCCAAGATTCTACAGAGGCAGCTAGCTGTTACCATTGAGCAGGTCTTCTATCTTAACCTACCGAGGGTCTGTCCACCCACACGCAAACTAATGGATATGATTTATCTGGCAGCCCTTAGTGCACAGGCTATAGCAAAGATTAGAGAACTAGCTTATGGACAAATTAACATCATAGAAAGTGAAGGCAGATAAGAACCATTCAGCCCATCTAGTCTGCCCAATTTTCTAAATTATTATTTTGTTAGTCCCTGGCCTTATCTTATAGTTAGGATAGCCTTATGCCTATCCCATCACAAGTTAGAAACTCCACCTACACATTTTAAAATTTTAGATATTAAAAGGTTTTGGTAGACAGAAGAATTACTATAATTCTGCTATTCTAGTGATGCACTAACTATACAAATAGCAAAATAACTAAAGATTTAAACAATATTAATAAATGTTACAGATTGTTGTTGTTTGTCTAGTTTAGAAGTCATCTTTGGTAATATATGATAAAACATTTTAATCAGATTTAAAAACCTAGATTAACATTTGAAGAAAAAAATGCTCAGGCACTCATGGTGTTGAAGTATAAACAGGATTTTAATGGATCAAGGGTACAGTAACATTTTGACCTGCATTCAGGTCTTTGACAAAGTGCAGGGCAAAAACGTAGCTGCATGTGATCAATTAAAATCCTTATACTTCAGCACAGCGAGTGCCTAACATTTATTATTTTTCATGCTATACATGTGCATTTGTGCTGGCCCTAGATCAATTTATCACCCTGTTTTTGGTTGAGCGGAGTCCCTATTACTTCTCAGTTTAATAAATCTGACTTTTAATGATTATGTTATTTGAATGGCTATCACTTGGCCATAGTTATTAAAGTCTCAGGCAGATAGTGTTTATTTTTATCATAGGAATAAATAGGAAGCCAGACTAATTGTTGGTTTATATTTTATTTGGTTGTTTAGTCGCTCTTTCGTATGTGACGCAGCCCTGCTTATTATTGTGTATAGAGTTTTTGTATACTCCAATTCAGATTATTTTGATGTTTATTGTATGAGCCAGACTAATTGTGCCTATTCTATGCATTACATTTTACAAATTAATGAAGGCTACTTGAAAAAGGAGCTTTATGTATTGAGACTATTTAAAAAAAATAAAAAATTTCAAGTGCCTCCTATGATTTATGATTGAATTAAGGGTTTTGATATTTGGAACCTATGAAGGTGCGAATAGGCACATACGTGGTAGGTCCGTCTTTACTGCTGACTAACAAGGAGAAGTCCAAGGCTGCTGAGAAAGTGTCACTGAGGCAAGCTGAAAGGCATGTGGTAAACCCTGTGGAATTTTGGCTGTTAATAGTTGCATTACACTTTACAACATTTTTGCCATGAATTTTGAGACAATTAAGATTTTTTATATGCCTTTGCATTGACTCCGTTTTCATACCATAGAATTTCTAATTTATATACAGTTAATCCAGGACTACAATCATTGGCTGAAATCACACAGCCGATCCTCAGCCAATCAATGTGGTCCTGCATAAGACTGGATTCAGAAGATACGACATCTTGAAGGGATAGACAGATCATTGGTTCTGCCAACTATTAGATCAGATTCGCAGCATACTTCTGATAATAAGCTTCAGCTTTGTAATTTACCAATACTAATGACAGTCACCTCATGCAGACTGCAATCCAGTCACTATAGCTGGCATGTTGTAATCTCATGTCACCTATCCCTGTGAGTCACCACATGCGGAGATCAGCTGAAGACAGCAAGGTGAGAGTGAGTAGTCTACTGTAATTTACTGGGCTGCCTGACAGGGTGATGGTTTAATTTATGACAGCAGTCTCATGCCTATCAGTAACAGCATGGTACATGGTGTTTTCGCACTGATCCCAGCAAGTCCTGGCTGCCTGAGAGTGATAGGAGTGCGATTGCTGTCAGCATATTCACTTAATGCCAGGTTTGTGCAGAAATTGTTGCTTTTTCAAATGCCTAGAATATCAGCAGTTGGCCTGAAAGGCAATGGATAATGCGTATCTGCTCTGGAAAGATTATATTAGTTGATGCTAGTATTTTGACAACTTCAAGTTTTCATAACATGCAATATCCAATTTGAAGTTCAACTACTACAACAGCAGCCAGGAAAGAATACAATTTCTATATTTGTATACTGAAACAAAATGTGGACACAAACTTCTTTAATAGAAATTCAACTTACATCTGTACATTCCAACAAAATGCATTCATATGTCCCACAAGTAGCCCCTGCCACTGTATAAATTAAAGGACACAAAATCAAAGAAGGTTCTCTTTAGTTGGGAGGGGTAATAACCAATTAACGTGTTGGATTTTGTTTTTGGGAAGGCAGCTTGTCAGACCTTCTATAAAATACAGATTCATTGATTTATCCAAAAGATTGACTAACCACACAAAGGTTAAACATTTTTCCCCAAATACAGGACTTTCTATTGAAAGTCTCACGAGACCCGATTTCAGTATACTAGATCTGAAAGAAACACTGACTGGGCAAGGGGTAGGCAACCTTTGGCACTCCAGATGTTGTGGACCATATCTCCCATAATGCTCTTACAGCTGTAATGTTGGCAAAGCATCAAGGGAGACGTAGTCCACATCTGAAAGTGCAGAAGGTTGCCTACCCCTGGCTCTAGGTTCTTCATTGATTTGTGCCAGCACAGAACACTGACTTAGTTAATTTTCATACTGCATTTTCGGCAGCCCATGAGCTATAGAATAGGTAAAGAGTCTTACGGTGACTGACAAAGCAAGGCATTCAATGCACAGCAAGAGGCTGCAGCCCTGCAGTAAGTCCATTTACTCTGACTGCCAGAGAGATAGGATGCTCCGTACATGGCAAATCAGTTCTCACACCTGGAGCAAAAGATATTCAACGCGCAAAGAGAAGTGGTTTTCAATACATAAACTCAAATTTTCAAAAATATTTATATCTGGTCACTGACCCTTGCTCCCAGATGCTCTGGAATTTGTACTGCAGTAGAAGGAAGTTACTGCAATGGGATACCACGTGCAGACAGCCTGCAGCTTGTAAGCAGTGAGGGAATTAAAGAGCTGCAGGCTGCCCCACAGCGGAATTTAGAATCAAGGTATGTTAAAAAGGGAGGAGGGAGGGAGGTGTGGAGGGTTACAAGACTGAAAACAGGAATTCAAGGAGAGAGGAGATGGGGAAGAGGGGTGGGGGGGAAGATTGACAGGTCATCTTCCTATAAAGGATTAAAACAAAAAACAGTAAAAAATATATATAAATTTAGAGTCTCATAGAGACAGAACGATCCCATTTCCCCTCTCCTATCTAAGACATGAACGCCCAGGGAAGGGGAGAGTGCCAGTTTGGGGAGCGCAGCAGAACACAGCCATCTTAAAGCTCGTCCTTTGGTTTGCCTGAATCATCTTCATCATCGTCATCCTCTTCTGCTTTGTCTTCATCTTTCTCTTCTTCGTCTTCATCATCCTCGTCATCCTCCTCCGGTTCGTCTGCTGGTTCTTCCTCCTTTCTATTTTTCTCTTCTTCCTCTTGCTTTTTGCGTTCCTCCTCATCTTGTTGCTCTTTCATTTTCTTCTCTGCATCCTGTAGTGGAAAGATCAGGAGAGGTGAATACAGTTAATAGATCAATGTTACTATACAATGGGCTATTTTGGGGCAGTCAATACAGCAGACAAGGCAAGATAAGCCTTAGAGTCTACATATTGTAGAGTATAGTTTTGTTTCTTTTGCCATGCTGTGTGTGGCTCTACCTATTGCCAGACAGCAGGCCTGGAGTCAAACTAAGGGGATACCATAGTCACCCAGACCACTTCATCTCAATAAGTGTCAAGTCCACCTGTAGTGTTAATCATGATCACAGCCTATAGAGACGCTTCTGACACAGAAGCCCCATAGTAAGCTTTGAGGAGCTTAGGATTGGACCAATTGAGGCCATGCCACTTCTGATGTTACTGGGGAGGACGGCTAAACCGTACAGAGGTAACAAGGCAAGTTAAAGCATGGTGGGGGACTCACATTGACATTAACAATACAAATATGTATTCTAATGATACAGTGCCCTAGTCACTGATATAGGAAAACATTGGAGACTAGTGAGCATGTATGGCATGAGACCAGACTAAAAAACAGATCCTCTATTTTACAGAAGAGAATCTAGTAGCGGTCTTAATGTTAACCCTGCAACGTAAACACTGCTGTTCCTAGAGAACGGCAGTGTTTTCAGTTGCAGGGTAAGAGAGGGGCAACATGGCACCCAGACCACTTCAATGAAATGAAGTTGTCTGGGTGCCTATAGTGTTCCTTTAACACTTTATTTAAACATATGGCATGCATCAAGGCTATAAGTAAACTGTATACATTCCAAACCACATATGATTACTATGTATAATCACATTGCACATTAGGATATAGGCCTATAAAGGTAAGCTATTTCTATCAGATCATCTGATTGGTGCAGCTCTGCTTTATACTGTACATGTACACTAGCCTCCCAATGTTCTATGGGAAAGCATTAAATTGGCAGAGATTAATCTCAGCCAAAGAGATGACTCATCTATTTAAAAGCTTGCAACAGGGGCCTAGCATACCTTTGTAACACCCCATGTTTCATTGCCATATTCTTCTGCAAACTTCTCATCATCGGTCATCAAGAAGTTGTCGAAAATTGTGCCAGATTTCACCTGCAAGGGATAAAATTAGAATGGTTAGTGGCCAGTGACCACAACATGGCCTGCTCAGAGGGTTATCAGCCAAAGTAGTAATATTTAGGGGGATATACAAGAAATCTAGAAATGCCCAGTTACCTGCCACAAATCAAGTCCGAGGTATGCAAAGCTTTCATACTGGTACAGTGTGGAATCTGGGGTGTACTCTGGGTTATCGATCTCTGGGTGTACCCACTTTCCTTTGAAGTTCGGGTTATCAATCTGGCGAGGTTTCCAATCTCCCTGTTAAAGAAAATCAAACCTTAAGTTTAGATGAAAAGCATTGGCCTGGTCACCACACTAAGAGTGGGCAACATGAACATGCCTATACAGGTTAACTCAATCTCTTTAGTATGCAGACATGTGGTAGCAAATCAAACATATGCCCGGGTTATGGGACTGGCTCACCTTGTATTCTGGGTTCTGAATGACTGGTGGCTCCCATTCTCCATCCATTTCCTCATCCCAGTCTTCTGGCTTCACTGCATCAGGATCAGGGATGTGTTCAGGCTTATCCCAATCCTAAAAAAAAAAAATTAGGAAACTGTTTTAACCACATCCATTTCTTAAATCCAGTCCATCTGGCAGTAGTTATAGCATCTCGTAGAGACCACTAGCAAGTGCAAACTGACCTCTGGCTTCTTATCATCTGGGTCATCAATCTTGGCTCTCTCATCCCAGTCATCGGGCTTCTTTGCTTCAGGGTCCTTAATCTTCTTGGGTGGCAGGAAGTCCCAGTCTTCCTCCAGGCTTCCAGACTCTACCTTGCTGTTGTCAATCTTCACTTCATAGGTGTTATCTGGCCGCACAATCAGGGTGTAAAGGTGGGTGAACACATCATCCTGTGGAATGAAAAGGAATTTATTTTCCTTACATGATTGGGAAGCTTGGCTTTTCACAGGTTTTACAATCATGGTTCACTCATGCACTAAGTGCAGAGCTCTGGGTTATTTACTTGTAAGATATAGGTTTGTATTTAATGTATATTGACTGCCTAGTCATCAAGAACATACTAGGATTGCCCAATTCTGTAAGATGTGAAGGCAGGGAATAAGCAATGATTGCACAACATCTCAGGAAAGCACGTTAACCATCTAATCTCCCAATAGCACGCCACAACTTCTACATCCTCTGTCTACACCATACATCATCTACCTTCTCTAATGAATGGGCATCATTCCCAAGACTATTTATATAGTTTTATCCACGGGAAAGATAGCGGTGTGTCCTAGGAAACTCAAATATAACCCGAACAGTCTTTCAGAAACCTGTAATTTTAGTGCAGTAGGTGTACCTTGCATCGGATGTCTTTGTTGATCTGGAGGTTCTTTCCCTTGTAGTGGAAGATTACATGAACCTTCTTGGTAGGTGGGCCACAAATATCAGGTCCTAGAATACAAACAGTGGTTTATTATTGTGAAAGCAAGCAGAGAACATACATGCTGTACAGAACAAGAGTGCATGATTTAGGTTCTCTTTTCCTCAACCACCAGTGTAGCAAAGCCAGACTTTTAAACTTTGAATAGTATCTGGGTTCATGATTAACAGGGGAAGAATCCATCTGTTGGCCAAGCATGACTTATAATTCACTCCATACAAGTATAAATTGGAGATTAAGAGCATGCATTCAGCTTTCTATGAGCCTACAGCTGAAGCATGCTTTAAAAATGGAATGAAGTTTAGCAATTCTTGCACACTCCACTAAGAGATGTGTCCTTGTTAAGAAAGGTCCATGGTTTT